TAATTAAAACTTACTTTCTATGTTATTTTAATGAAATTAATTATATTATTTATTTATTAAAAAATATACTATCAACCTTAAATTTTATATTTCTAGATAAGTTTTTAAAAATATTTATAATGATTTTCTCTATCAGTCTCTTATTGTAAATCGACTTAGCGATTTATAAAATCGAGTATTTAGTTTCATTGCTAGATTTTTAATGTTGATTTTTTTTATTTTATATTTTGTGTAATCACATATTTATAATTTTACTTGTTTTTCCTTATAACAATAGTTATTTGATTAGCTCTCATCAACAAAAATACCATATAATGTGCTGCAAAACTACAATTTAAATCAATGTTTCAATCAAAAAACTTATTTTTCCATAAATTATAGATATTTATCTTAATTAATCAATACATGAAATCACATATTTTTTTGCTTACTTTTTTTTAAAAAAAAAAAAAATGAGGGTGATAAGTATTTCAAGTTTATAGAAACTTGATGGTACACATATCGATATTTATATTTATAAGTAAACATATTTTTCTATGAAATGAAAGTTCCGACTAAACTATAAACTCGATATTTAACATTAAAATCAGGCCTCTTGAGTAGAATTTTTAGATCCATGTTTATGGACTCTCTTAGTTGGTTATTAATGCCCCAAACTAACTTTTTTATACTGCATAAACCAAAGTGAAAAAAATAATTACTTTTTGCCTCCGTTAACCATAAAACCTATCCCTGTGATCTTCTTTTCTGTTAAATGCCTCACTTTATCCCGAAAAGTTTTATCATGTCTTTTATTTGGAATTACTTCCACATATATATGAATAGTAAAATTTCCTATTTTTTAAATGTCAGAAAGTCTATTGCATATTATTTTTTTAGTTTGGAAAATAACGTCTACTATTTTTCAATTCAAGCTATGTAATACATATTTCGAGTCATCATTATTCACTTAGGAAAAAATTTCAATAATAGGAAATAAAATATAATATTGCAATTTAGCAAGACATGCCCATATTCTATTATATATATATTTTTTTTTTCAGCACAATGAAGGAGGCCGAAACCTAGGCTAGTATTCGACGGGGGTATGACACCCCTATGAGATCATGCTCGTATTCTATTATATTAGATGCACGAATACAATATCTGCACAAATATGACATTATCATAAATGCGTATCATGCATACACTTGAATGATTCGCGTATTAAATTACAAAATTAAAACAAAAAATATTACTCATATATACATTTTAGTGAGGTAACAAAATGTCACTCCTATTAAATCGGTATATCATATCAAGAATCAAATATTTAGTAGTAGTAATTATGATCAGCATGTCAATTAGTTAAATAAAATTGAAGTCAACAAATTTTAGCAATTGTCTAATGCACAAAGTATCGTGTCACGGGACAATTAATCCATACGAAGGTCAACTTTTCATACTCTTCTAATAAAAAGATACACTTATATTATGAAGTGATAAATTTTTTTCTATGCTATATGGCAACGGGCCGGTCCGGTCCCGGACCGGCCTGTAGGTTGCCGGTCTGAGAAACGACACCGTTGCTTAACGGGTTGTATCCGAGTCTTTTTTTTTTTTTTTGTTCCGACACTCCTGAACCGGGCCGAGACAGGGCCAATTCCACTTGGTTTTTGGCGGATCGGTTAAGGGTCACCTACGGGAGGCCGGCCCGGACTGTTGAATGGCTATGTCTATGCTATTTTTTAAAGTAAATAAAATATAAATGTAATATTTGATCAAGAAACACCTTATAATTAAGGTCAATAAAGGTGCACGCCCAGATATATTATCGAAAATCAAATTTTGATAACATTTGTCAATTCCTATAACTGAAAATTGCATAGCTGTGTTAATTTAGGCGGCGATATATTTTCAAAAATTTAAAATAATATATTTTATATTTATCAAGTGAAGACTTGGGTCAAAATTATTGCGCTTTGACTTCAGAAAATGGCAAATTTCTCATCCCATCACTTTCCCCTTAACCACAACACTCCCACCAAAATTTGCCTTATTTATAAATACACACAAATAAACACTATAGACATAAGAAATCAAACAATTTCGGGCCCCCTTTTTTATTTTTTTCATAAATAAATGATCTTATTTTTTTTCCTCGGTAAATCTAATCCTCTATATCCCCTATATATAATTCTCGAATGCGCTGAGCCTATGTGACTGCTTCTGGTGATTCGGAATCTTACTTAGCGAAAAATTATTTTCGTAATTAAGTTTGGACAAATAATATTGATATATTAATAATTAATAATCTAGGTTCGGACATTCCATAAATATTATTTAGGGTATTTTAATATTACTTGTACTAATATAATCCTTTGATTCTTTGTAATTATACATAGTGAGACACTAAGTGACTAATATATCCATTGCTTTTGATTTGTTTCCTTCAATTAGCTATTGATATTTTTCTTTTTGAATTTTATAGAAAAGGAAACGCAAATCGATATTGCTGTTCGGACATATTTTCTTTTAATCACCAAGGTCAACCTATTGTTATTTTTCCTTTTGAAAATTCTTTGTTGCGACAATAATGGGAATATTGCCAATCAAACTAATAACGTTGTATACCAAGAAGTTTTTCAATTTATCTTTATTTTTTATATTGTTATATAAATTATTGTAGTTCTACTTTCTATGAATTATAATTTCTTTTAATCACTCGTGTATCACACGATGTTGTACTAGTACACACCTATTTACAATATCCCGGCTATTGTTAGATTGTCTAATGTAGTTATTGGTCGGTTATATATTTTCATACTTAAATGTCATCTGTAAAAATATAATATAATAAAAATATAACATTTATATTAGGATTTAATATTATTATAGATATTAATTACCTTTCATATAAGAATATGGTATATCATTAGGTAGATGGATTTAATTTCTCTTTGTATTGAGGAGTGAATCACTACAAAGTCTCGTATGACTTTCTTGTGAAGAGATTTATAAGTTCATATGTCGGCAATTATTCTAATTGTATTAATTTTAAACTTATTATACCATTTTTGAATAATTATAATTATAAATGACTCTAGAAATCATGTAATTTGATGGCTTGATATCGACATAGCCAAGGGCCGCCCGGCCCGCTGACCCAATACAAACCCAGCCCGGTCAACCCCGTTGACCACAAGCTCGGGACTGGACCGGATTTCATACGGGCCGTTTCAGGGTCATCGAATTCATGTTCCGGCCCGACGGGCCCAGGTCGGGCCGATGGCCCATTTTTCTATTATTTTTTTATTTTTTCTATTGTTTTTATATTTCAAAAAGGAAATCGACCCGACACCGACCCGATCCGACCCGGAAACGGACTGTCAACTGGGAAATTGACCCAGCACGAGTATAGATCTGTGCCGGGTCCGGGTCAGTGTTTTGGAGCCCGGCGGACCGAGCCGGGTCGTGACCCAGACCGGGTATTGGCCATGTCTAGCTTGATAGAACATAGCAAAGACATTTAATATTACAAATAAAAATATTTTATAATAAATATGATTATCTACCTATATAAACAACTACAATATAACAACATTTATGAAACACCTACTATTATGCATATGTGAGGACCCAACATTAAAACCACACAAATGACACAATATATCATCAATCAAAGCTACTTAAACCAGCATTAATTATACTATATATTATACATATTGCTCTTAAGTCAAATAAAATTAAAGATAACCAATTTTAAATTTATAGAAATTTATATGAAAATTGAAATTATCAAACCCTTTGGACTTATTTAATGGAAAAATAATGTGCATATGCATTGAAAAATAGTCTTTTTGCAACACGAGAGAGAAAAGAAAACAGCTCTGTTGCATTTCCTGATATAGAGTGGAAAATTGGGGTGAGTTAATTTGGGGCATAATTACACACACAGAGTACTGTTTTCGTACACACACACACACACACACACTGATCACACACACATAAATGGAGCTCGAAATCTCATCTCTCGGGCCACCCGTTCACGGATATCGAGGAATTTTTGCTTTTTTTTCCCTTTCCCAATTTTAGCTTTTTCATCTTTTGCTTTATTACAGTCGAGCCCCATAACTTTCTGTATCCGTAGTTTTTCGCCCCCTATTTGTTCACCCATTTTCTTGTAAATGCGTCTCAGTCCCCTTCTTCTTCTTCTTAGCTACCTTTTTTTCCTAGAGAGCGGAACTTTCTCGATCTCTTTCGATTCAATCCGATCTCGTTAAACTGAGTCCAAAATCATGTGAGCAAATAGATTGATTATCCAGAATTTTGGTTCATTGAAAATGGTGTCAATTTCGCTCTCTTGTGTGCGTGTGTGTGTGCGCGTTTGTTTCTGTTTCATATTTTTTTTTTTTTTTCTTTTTCTGCATCTTGAGTCGAGATAATTTGATGTTTACAGTGCATAAAGTCGTTATCTTGGTAATGGGTTTCAATTTTAGGGCTAAAATGTATCCGGGTTTTGTGGACTTTTTTTTTTTTTTTT